GGACTCCAACAGCACGTCTCCGCTATCTTCTATAACCTGAAGACCTCTTTAGCTAGGCGCATGATCGCCCATAGCTTCTCATTTCCTCCTCGCACGACCCCTTCCATGTCACGCTCGGACTACCCACTCACCATCCGAGTGCAGTAGTTTTACTGAAATAGTTTCAACTTGACAACTAGTTCATTTAAAGTTTTGTACGATAATTTATACAGATAAAATGGTGAATGTTTCGTTACATATGGTTCCAGCCTAGTTAGAAACGTAGTTACTTAACAGGATGCACATCTATACAGTTGAATAATGCCAAATGGAAAGATTATTGGTCTTAGATCCCACCAGTAGTAGCCACTTGTCATAGAATATCTATCTAGATTCATTCATTACAAACATATCAGCTGGAGGCTAATCCTTCTGTAAAAATGACTTTTTGAAATGGATTTATGGTTAGTTATTAACCTATGATATTGTTCTAAATTATTATCATTCCCTTGGGTTCCTAAAGGAACATAGGGCTTCAACTGAACGTCTCCACCTGCCACTTCTGTTTTCTGCTGTACTTTTCACATGCATCCATGTTAGTCCATAATGTTTCAAATCCTCTTCACACGATCTTCTGCATGTCACTCTTGCACTGACGTCCAACTCGCCGCTTCCCTTTCGGTCTGGATCCACTCGAGCAATGGCCTGATGCGCGAGCCATGTCACGCAGAGGTTTTTTACCGAGTGTCCAATCCATCTCAATCCACTTTCTCCTGCATATTTGTTGGTTGGCGATCGGCTCTTGTTTTGTTTGATGGCGCCCATAGTTTCTTGTTGGTGATTCTTTCCGGCCCGGCCATCTGATCTTCAGTATAGATCCAGCGAAGACAGTTTTTGGTTGATAAAGGTCTGGTCTGCAACAGGCTTTTGGAAATATTCTTTGTGACCCGTCTGCCAAGTTTCTGATCCGTATAGAAGAACTGACTGAATTGATGTTGTTTGTATTGAAAATCCGAGCGAGTTTTGTTGTTGATGCTGAGTGACGAAGATTTCCAGATAGGTTTCAGCTTGATGAATGTGTTTATTTCTCGCCTTCCCGATTCTCTCTTGATTTGATATCCTCATCCGTTGCGACTGCGTGTAGTTGAGACAATGCTCCCTAGAAAAGTGAATGAAGTAACCTCTTTCAAGTCCCTCCCGTTGATGGTGATTGACGCTGGATGTTTCTGCTGTTGTTGGCTGGTTGGTTGGTTATTTTCATAACCTCCATCTTGTTTATGTTCTCCTGGAGTCCTGTCTTCGCCGGCTGCTTCTTCGAACAGTTTGTCGGATGATATTGTGTGATATTTGGTAAATTACAAGTCCTCAGTATTTGCAAATAACCTCTTTCCCGAATTCAGTAATGAGTTATAATATAGTTTCTTGATGTCTAGGAAGATGGAGTGCAGGCTCAGCGACAAGTGTTTCCAAAGTTAGTTGATGTCTACTTTAATCTACGCCGTGAATACTCTGCACTACAGGAATCTCTCATAAATAACTTCAGTAGACTACAAAATAGCTCAATGTCACGTAATGTGGATTGACACAACCAGTTTCAAAGGAAATCACTTCTCTGGAGTAAATCACACCATGTTCGCTGCTGATGGTTTAGGCTCCAAATATGTGAATCGATTGCTCATTATTAGTAACCACTAATAGTTGATATGAATGGTTTTACACTACTTGTATTAGTCAGTAGTATATACCACCATGCGATTATACTTCATCCTTGACTATCAAATATGGTATCAAGTATTGGCCTTGTGGGGATTTTGTTTAATTGTATGGGGGATTTCATCATGAGCTGACATCAGTTAAAGAAGCACTGGAATACCATCATGGAGTACTGGACAGCTGTTCCGTCCTAGTTTGGGACTCTTCATCAGTACGCACCCACCAGGGTTCGAGCCAAGGAACTCACCTTGTAACCAGTGGGTCCTGGGTTCGAACCCCGGTGAGTGCGTACTGATGAAGAGTCCCAAACCAGGACGAAACGGTTGTTCAGTACTCCCAGTTGGCCTTCCAGTGGTTCTCTAACTGATGTCAGCTCATGATGAAATCCTCCATACAATGGTATCAAGTAGATTAAACATGGTAATCGAAAAGTTTTGCGCTACTGAAGGAAAATGTGTTGCATTTACACTTCGTATTAAGTAACTGAAAAATTATGAATTCGACGCATGGAGAGAGTTCAATACAATCTGAGTGATTCTCTAGTTTGAAAAAAGGTGAAATGCTAGTTCTCACTCAACCTTACTGCTTAGAAGATGAATACATTTACGCAGGTTATTGGGCTTCTTTACTTTGATTGGATACTATTCAGTAACTAGTGTAATGTGTCTAGTTCTTTGTTTTTTGCTGCAGATTGAAATCTGTCAGTCAGGTTTGTAACATGGTCCTTATCCTAGGTGGCTCGCCATCACCGTACACCCAGGATTGTTTTTATTAGGTGGTTGCAGGTAACCGGGCAGTAAGACGTAGAACTAGGTTTCTTGCTAGTTGGCACCCACCAGTCGGAAGACAGGCGTATCTGTAACCTTGAAGGAATTCATGTCACTTCTGAGATTCGAAGTGTCCAATCAAAGTATCCAATACAGTCCTGCAGGGGACGTAGCTCAGTGGTAACATCTCTGAATGCAGTACTCAATGGGTGACGTATATTCGATTTTCTTAGATGGAGGGACATGAATTCCTTTAAGATTGCAGATACGCCTTGCTGACTGACTGGTGAGTGCCGACTAGCATGAAACCTAGGTCAGATAGGGCTTCTTGTGGCCGATTGCCTTCAACCACTTTTATTGAATACGTATTCAATCCATATCTATGTGTATTGAGCAGTTCAACTGCTCCTGTTTAAACGGTTATGTAGGATGTTAATACCAAACACCTTATCATGACATGGTAGAGTTCAGGTAAGAACCACCTGATGGTCTGACTCGCCCCACCTATTTTTATAGAGGCCAATTAGTTCAACTAAATGATAGCACTCATGGTTGTTATTCATCACTCCTTGATGAATGTTTATAATGATCTTTGTATTCACCTGCTGCATATATCTGAAGCGACTTACATTCAAATTGATAACCGTAAACTACGTGTTCATAAACATTTAGTACAGCCGTTATCTCTCTCCCTCTTTCTTGAACAGTGAAGACTTTTCAAACTAACTATACCGCAACCTATCCACTTGTAAACTGTTTGTCCTTTTTGTCCCAAATCACCTTATTCTTTTAATACATGTGTAAAACTTGGGCACTGTGGTAGTAAGTAATTCTATATTAGTTTGTTTATTAGATATATCACACAGTCAGTGAAACAGTATTATTAACTGGATGACACAGTTTCGAACACAATCTATTATTGTTCAAAATCATTTCATCAATTATAATCACATGACTTCGAAACTTGAGTTCTATAGTTTCCTGTGTCCTCTCCTAATTGGCGTAGGGGTAGTAGAATTGTCCAGATATCTGGATAGGTGTTGAATCATTCCTGTTACATGTATTTGCAGTTGATTCGATAAATAAAGCTTCTGTTGACATCAATCTCTCCCTCCACCCAGTTGCTAAATTAGATTTTAAAACTGTCATCTAATCCTATCCTGTTGTATGGTTTTGTGTAACTGTATGTAGTGTGTGCTATAGTTGAACTATCCCATTCTCCAGATTTCTTATCTAATTCAGATCAACCAATCTAGATTTTGCTAGGCTTTTATGTTCTACTAGTTTGACTCACTGCCTCTGTTCTACAACTTTGAACTATGTATTTGACCTGACAATCATCTCAGGCAGGGTATTCGATAAACTAAATTGTTTTGTTTTAAAGGCTCCACAGGCAGGATCCTTTAGCCGAAAAAGCTGTTCCACTGTGTGATAGATCTAATGAACAAACTAATGTGGAATCACCTTATTCTTATTGCATCTTCACGGAAATCCAGTTTGTCTATATTCCACTTTGAATATTGTGTGTGTGTGTGTGATTTTGGGATTACAGCTTGATTTCAAACCGTATATTTGGTACAAGTATGGAATTTTCAGCACGTGATATCGGTAGCCCAAATTTTGCTGGCCGACCATTGATATCAGGTGTGCGTCGTTAGGGAATTGAACCTCTGAACATGGGCATGGTCGGTGAGAGTCCTAACCACCGTCCCACCAACTCAATCAATTTTTCGGTGCCCTCAACGTAATCATGATGGCTAAAGAAGCATATTTTAATGTATTGGATAGTTTAACTACAAATAACTGACTTAATTAGCAAGCAGATATTTCAAATGTATCAGTGATAAAACATTGATATCTGAAAAAGGTGGCACAGTGATTAGAACTCTCGCCGACCATGCACATGGTCCGGGGTTCGAGCCCACACCGACGCACACCTGATACCTATGGTCGGCCTGCGAAATTTAGGCTGGCGATATCCATGGTGAAAATTCCATACTTGTACCAAAAATACGGTGTTGAATCAAGCTGTAATCAAAAATAACAATAAATAAATCTAAATTAAGTATTATTTGACTGCCTTTCTTTAATTCAGGGGCTTCAGACTTTAAGCACTGAAGTTAAAGCAACAGGTTTTTTTATCTTTTAGAGGATGGGGCTGATTACCTCACTCATAATCTTCTCTCTTCTCCGGGTTTGATACTAACCGGGTAAATTTGAGAGTGAGTTCGCCGGAAATCGGAACCAGACCCCTGAACCGCCAACGCATACGAAAGTACTATCTACTTGGACACGGAGACCACCATGAACTATCATCATTCATTTATTTAGTTGATGTTGACAGGCAGTAGTCTCATTGGGAACACAATCACCCATTGGGGCTGAAGATACCTCATTGGTGACAAATCCCAATTGAGACAAAACTCATGTCCAGAATTCTATTACTAGCCACCATCACTAGGATAACATCTTGTCATTTCAAGAGAGAAAGATCAATTCAGTCCAATGAAAATCTGATAAATCAACATTACCATCACTTACTTGCTACATTAACTAAGAAATCCGGTGCCAGTGCTCGTCCTCGATTCACAGCTTCACATGTATACAAACCACTTGCACGTGGTTGTAAGTCAGTTAAAGTTAAATGGCTAACAGCCATATTACAATTAATAACTGTATAATTAATTGAATGTGTAACACCTTCACGTAAATGACCCCAGTTATATCGCCAGCTAATCGTTGGTGGTGGACGTCCGTATGCTACACAAGTTAAAGTTAAATTTCCAGATTGATGACCAATCAGTTGTGTCTCACCGGATGGTTCAATAATGCTTGGATAACCTGGAAAAAAAATGAAATTATAAACAAAACTGTGAATTTATTGTTTAAAAGTTTATAGTTTATATTTTATGGTTTAAAAGTAGCATACATATTATGTTATATGTTGAAGGCTTTTAAGACAAGTCTCATGACGAATTGATATCACCTAAAGAACCATTGGAGACTAAAATCCGAGTGAATGGAAACATGCTTGCCTCTTAAACTCAAAGCCTTGAATGTCGTTCGTGGTACGATCATGGCTGTATATTACTGAAATATCTCAAGCTAGCATGAGATGTCTATCCAATCCAATTTGGTTTTTAATCGTTGTCAGTTTGAGACGAAATTTCTCCTGAATTCAATCAAATCCTTGTATATCTTATAGCTCAAAAATATTTGGGTTCATTATCATGCCTTGGACGAGAAGTGGCATCTTGTCTGCAAAAGGTATAATAAATGTTTATTGAATTGAATTTTCGGTTTTCCCATCGATTGATTGGACCGAAGTGCTCAGTCTCAGGTTGACATGTCGGCTTCTTGTGCAGATGCTTCGAAGTTGTCTGGGAATTTAATTAGTATACAATTGGTGGATGGTGGCTAGCAGTGGGATCCAGATGCGCATTTCGTCCTATTTGGGACTCGTCTCTCAGCTGGATGTACCTGCATTTCTCAGTGAGTGATAATGTTCCCACCGAGGCTCGAATCCAGTGCCCATAGTTTCAAACGCCAAAGTGTTGTCCACTAGACCACTTGGGTCACATTATCACTCACTGAGGAATGCATATACATCCAGATGACGAGTCCCAAATAGGACGAAATGCGCATCCTGGATTCCACTGCTAGCCACCATCCACCAATTGTATAATAATAAATGTTTGTCTATATAAGCACTTAGCTCCATTCGACATTTTACAGTCTATGGTAGTAGCTTGTCCTTTGGACGACTGATCGACAACAAATATTTTAGAAAAACTTAATTAATGACTGACCTTGAAATATACGTTTGTTTTGTCATCGTTCCACAACATAAGATGGCGATGGTGACGATGGTAATCAAAAATTCGTAATCAGAACATTCGTTCATCTTATCCAGTTACTGCCTACAAGAAGGTTCTGGGTTTAGGCAAATTTGTCTCTATAAGCTACCTGAAGCCTAGTATATTACTAATAAGCTCGTCGATCTTGTATTTAGCTTACTATGATGTGGGTGGCTAACATTACTGGCTGATGCAAATGGTATATCAACTACTCGTATCAATCAGTGAGTAGTATATAACATCATGTTGGAAAATAAAAGCTGTGTTTTAACTGTATTTGAAAAAATATCAACGATAACATCCATTGACAGCCTTTAAATATGACGAATAACTCGGTTAGTTTTCATTTAGTGAAGCATTGGAAAGACAACTGCTCCTTTGTGTAAAGGGACAGTGTTGGCGATGTCTCTGCTGGACGATAGCTTGATGTAGTTGTGGAATTTGAAGCTTTAATTGAAAGTTTGAAGTTTGGTTTGAAATCTTTATTCAGCAGAACTCACCAACTACAGAGGATTGAACCTAGGACCTTCTGATTACAAGGCCAGGGAGCTCATAGGCAATTAAGGGGCCACTGGAACCCATGATTCCATCTTATACCAATTCACAACATAGTGTAACCACTTCGAAATGTCTTCTTCGATGAGTTACTGTCTCACCTTTAACCTGCTTTACCCTATGGTCTCGGATTCCCACTAGAACTCCAGGTCACTGCCTCAATAGGGCCAGTCACTAGTGAGCATCCGATTAATTTTCAGGTGCTGGTTTTGTAGGGATTTTGTCTGATCGAGTGGAGGATTTCATCATGAGCTGACATCAGTTAGAGAACTATTGGAAAACCTGGGAGTTTTGGACAGCTTTTTCGTCTTGGTGTGAGACTCTTCACCACTACGCGCATACCAGTGTTCGAACCCAGACCATGTGGGTCAAAGTGATGTCACCTCATGATGATTGCGTACTGATCAACAGTCCCAAACTAGGATTAAGTCTCTCTGTCAAGTGTTCAGCACGATCAGCGAGCTAAGCAATGAAGGGCTGCTCTCTACTGAAATACAGTAGACTACCAAAAAGCCATGTGTCACCTAAATTGTGAACTTCGGCGTATTGTATGTATCATCATTTTCAATGAGTATGTTTGCCACTTGAAAGTTTCAAACTAACTCTTTAAAAATTGAAGACGAATTGTTTTAACTAAAAGGGGTCTAGAAATGGGTATTTCATGTAGATTGAAATTTCATACACATTGATGAATACAGCTAAAGATACTCTTGTATTTAATTTCCCCGGCAGTGACTTAAGGGAATGCGGTATGGTACGATCACTTTTATTCATTATTTGAGTTCCAACAGATAAACAGCTCGTCAGCAGTAAATTTTGGTTTCACTTGATTCTCTGAAATCACTTTCATTTGGCTCCACCAACGCCCACAAGCTTTTGTACTTCTTCAGTGTCACTCTTGAATACCCATTCCCATTCGGGATCAATTCAAAAACCTAGCTGGCGTGTTATTTCTCTTGAAGGTCTCCTCACTGTTTTTCCTAAGTTGCCTATTAGTTATCTATTCCTGCGGGCCATTTAACTTTTGGTTTCAAACTAGACTAAAGGAGTAATTACTTGACAATAGAATTATAAATTCGGATCGTGTTCTTTGTACGTGTTAAGTGCTGCAGAACTCCTCAGTGATTTCTGACTGATGAACTCCTGTCTTGCTTTTTCAATCCTGAATGATCTTGACACTATCGTCTGTGATGCCTTTATTTGTTATCGAGGTAAGTGAAAGAGAAAAATTCCTTTAGATTCCCCTCATTGATGGTAATAGACTTTTGTTCTTGGTTGGTGGGTCACCTTAATCACCTCTACTTTATCCATGGTCATCTGAAGTTTGTTTCCACATGCTGTTCTAACTAACAACTTGCTGGTTTCCTTTTAAAATGCTTCCGATTTGTGTGACATAAGACATAAATCACTAATGGAATATGGATCTTCTTGGGTCGTTTGTGTAGGTCTAATGTATAGTCGTCTTCTTACGCTTCACAGTTTGCCGTATGACTTTGTCTGTCACAAATAAGACGTGCTACGAAAGTCAAAAAATATTTTTTAAAAACAAACATGTCACTCACAAATTATACATGGGGACTGGAAGGTTATTCGTGAATTATTATTTTATTCAGAGGAAAACACGACTAGAGAATATTCAAATCACTTACTGCATTCATTTTCATCATCACCGTCCGGTTCACAGTCTGGTACTGAATCACACATAAATGCACGTGCTATCATCTTTTCACCTCGTGGACATGTATAGTGGGTACCATTGCATTTGTCATAATCACTTGGTGCTATTGGAATAGAGAAGAAGATATCAGGGGGGAGGGAAATGGTTAAATATTTATTAATGGGTAACTGAGAAATGTGGACGATATGTTTTTATGCTATTTAAAATTGTCTAGTTCAGTATTAAGATTTTGGCCAAACGCGCACATAGTCAACGCTCAACTCCTAACTGATTCACTTATAAATCCCGCCTAGCTAGCAGCTAACCCAGTAGAGAAGGAAACTTGGGCGTAAGGTTAACGAATTCATACATTGAAATAACACTCCTGCTACAGAAACTTCAGACCTCCAACTCGAAGTTCCCATTCTTTTCGGAAAGAAAATTAATCAGGAATATATTGGTCCCCCAGTGTGCGTTAGTGGCACAGTGGTTAGGAAGCTCGCCGACCATGCACATGGTCTGGGGTTCGATCCCCAGCTGAGGCACTCCTTTACCTCGCTAAGCCAGATATAAAGCTGGTAAAGAGCGGAGGTTAGGCATGAGGCTAGCAACCTCATCCTGTAAAAATAAACACTGCTACAGAAACTGCAAGCTACTAGCTTGAAGGTGCCCTATGTTCCAACAGGAACGTGAAGGAATTAATAATACTGATAATGGTGGTTCTCTGCAAGGCATAAATTAATGTATGATGAAGGTGTTCCCCTGTAAAGACGTAGACACAAACGGTTTATAATCAAATAAAAACGATTCAATGATTCTGTCTTAGGTTTCACATATTGCAGATTTCATTAACTTTAGCTAAGCCACAGAAAATTACTCCTACATTCAGCAAACGTTTATCAGTCTCCCACACTGTTATGATAACAAAACTTAATCATTGACTAGGGGATACTAGATAGCTGTTTCATTCTAAATGAGACCATCCTTTCATAGATATACTAACTGTATTCAGAGAAAAATTCGACTTAAAGACCACACACTTAAATGCTGATAGTAGTTATTAATTATTATTCAAAATAATATCAAATTCTGACTAGAGCTAAGAACTATTATTTTCTAGGGGATTATCTGATAACAGAAAACAATTAGCCTGAAGCAATTTATCAAAATTATCGTGGTATTATGCCACTAACCATCTCAAGTAAAATACTGAGCTGCATCATCCTGGAAAGAATCAAACAAGCTCTGGATGGAAAATGCCGACTGGAACAGGCTGGATTCAGGAGAAACAAGTCATGTATTGGTCACATCGCCACACTACGGATCATTATTGAACATAGCTTGGAATGACAGTCACCTCTCTATCTCACTCAACTTCATCGACTTTGAAAAGGCCTTCGATAGCACAGCGTCGATCAAGAGGTGATTTGACAACTACTTCGCTACTATGGGGTCCCATCGACAATTATACATCTCATCCACCAGTTGTACGACAGTGCTGCATACCAAGTAATCCACAACGGGAAACTTAAGGAATCCTTCGAAGTAAAGATGGAAGTAAGACAAGGCTGCCTACTATCTCCAATGATTTCCTGATTGCGTTAGATTGGATAGTGTGAGAGACAGCGGACAGCGAGGAAATAGGCATAGAATGGACCTTCACGAAAAACTTGGAGGATCTGGATTTCGTCGATGATATATATCTAATTTCCCACAAATTGGAAGATATGCAAGTGAAAAGCAACAAGTTTGGCAGAAGAAGCATCAAACACAGGCCTTCACTTCAGGTGAACATATATAAAAGAGAGGTGACGAAGATTCCTGGCCAACACCACCAACAGCAACAACAACAGACAACAAACAGCCAGCATAAATGGGAGGAACCTGAAAGAAACAACCTCATTTAATTACCGACTTGGGTAACATCCTTTCAACTACTGGCAGACGGAACTGACGAGGATACCAGAGCAAGGATCGGGAAAGCGAGACAAGCTTTCATTACTCTCAAATCTGTGTGGAGCTTAATAGCACTCAGCATGAAAATGAAAATAAGATCTGGATTTCCAACTCGAATGTGAAGTCAATGCTACTATACGGATCAGAGACTTGGCGCATCACATAGAGCACCTCAAGCAAACTACAGACTTTCATCAACAGTTATCTTCGCTCAGTATTCAAGATCAGATGGTCAGAAAGGATCAGCAATACTAATCTCTTGCAATGAGCAAACCAATTAGGAACCGATTGTGCAACAAGTAAGCAGCAAGAAATGGAGATGGATTGGTTGGCCATACTCTGAGGAAACCATCAAGTGACATCACTAGACAAGCCATCGCCCAAGTGGAACCCGAAAGGGAAGCGGCTAGTTGGGCATCTAAGTGTGACTTGGTGGAGGTCATGTAAAGAGGAGATGAAAGCATGTGGGCAGACTTGGAGCCAGATGAACGAGACGTTCGGCTGAATCCCTATGTTCCTCTAGGAATTAAAGGAAATAATAAAAATCGTTTTTGAAGTTGAAATAACCTGCAGACAGATTACAACAGCTTTGGAACCACAAAATAATTAGAAAACGTTTTCTCACACCTTGCAATTACAGTGAGATTCACGGATTCAAGTGTTCAACTAATAATTTTCAGTGGCACTGTTGTTTGGCTTTTTTTCAACACAATGGGGTTGCTAGCCTCACATCCAACCTTCCTTCTTCGCTGACCTCATTACTGGCTAGACGACGTTCAGGATTGATTGTATCAGTAAGGAACTGAACCTGGAACACATGCATGGCTGTCCAGAAATTTATCATTGAACGAATGACACAACCTCTGTTCATTTCTGTGGCCACATTTGATGAGAGGTGAGAAACAAGCGGGGAATCTGTTGATTGGACCAACCCTTTCAAAGGACAGCATAGCTTGTTTTATTATCGACCACTGAATACTAGGGAGTACTGGATTACTGTTTTTGTCCCAGTTTGGGACTCTTCAGCAATACAAATTAGTAACGCCATGGAGAATAGAACCTAGAACCTTCAGATTATGGCGCCAGCATTACACTGAACCTTGGTTGGCATCAACTGGGACACTAAGAGAAGTTTAAGAGTGTGTCAATCGACAACTGAAATGGTAAGCATTCCACAAATGAGGCTGTCGTGTTGGATTTAAATAAATATCCTACATGCAGTTTGACAGAAATCAGAGCAATACTGTAAGATTTCTTTTACATAAAAATCTATTAATGCATGCCATTTTGAAGTGATCATTTAGTCACTGTAAAACCACATTTTTCTCAGCCTAATCTTGACTCTTCTTTCCCTGACTGAGCTGTCCAATATGACTGCGTCTTTGGGCGACAAGAAAGCAATCATTCATTGAGGAACAGTCATGTGCAGTGATGAATCCACAGTCCGAGCGAAACATGCCTCCTGGATTCTACTAATATTCTACTACTAACCAAAACAAAACACCACGCTAACTTCTAGGCATAACTGAAGAGGCTCTGATATCAATGAGAGATCAAGCCTTCCGATCCGGTACCAATAAACCAATGAAATATTCAAAATCATAGTGCAATTTTATTGTAGTATTTTAATCTTAACTTAATAGAATCCGTGGACAAAAGCTCTCCGGATTTAACATGGTATAAATAAAATTCACTTACGCAAACAGTTGGCTTCATCGAAATTATTTCCACAATCATCTTCTCCATCACAATGCCAAAATTGTAGATAACAATTTTTCAAAGGTTTCACATCATCAACCATACCACAAGTCAATTCATTCGCGCCACATTCACCTAGAAGTGATTGTAAGAAGAACAAAAAAGTGGCAAGTTAAACAGACAGAAGGTGAAAGTGCCAATATTAGAACATGAAATCTGGTTACATTCTGGAATCAAGTACCATTTCTTGGTAAGGTGCGGTCGATATTAGATGCTTTGAAGAAAAGTTCCAGAGCTCAGTTTGATGCTTATAAGAAGTTTTGTGGAAGAGTTATCCGTAACGTGAAAGAATTGACATCTGTAAAAGAGGGAATTGAACTGACAGGATTCATTTAGCACCAACACTACTGTCAAAGTCTAAATATATGACACTGATTATATTTTGTGATCAGTGAGGTGCATTTCTTTGTACTGGTTTGTTACTTCGTGTTATGAGGTTGAACTGATCTATAAGGAATGTAGCTGTGAATGTTCAGAGCACTAAAATGACGGACAGATTTCAGCTTAATCTTAAAATTGCTAGTGAGGTATTTTCCTCATTGTCTGATTTCGGTGAGTTCTTGATAGTGAGTTCTTCAGACACCAAATTTAATGGATTTAAGCTTCTCAACTCATTTGAAGTTTACCCACTTTGTTGAAGACGCAGCTTAAATTTCACCATCCAGACAAGTGATTTGCGCCAGTTGTCAGCACATGGAACCTTTTACAAATGAGCTTCTTCGCTCTAACTGATCCGAGGAATATTTCTCACTATTTGAGTAAACACCCAAAAGACATTACGTGCGTTGGTAGCACACCAGTTAGGACTCTCACCAACCGTCCACATGGTCCGGGTTTGATCCCCTGCCGACGCACACCTGATATCTATGGTTAGTCTGCAAAATTTGGGCTACCGATATCACATGCTGAAAATTCCATACCTGTACCAAAAATACGGCGTGGAATCAAGCTGTAATCATAATAATAATTGTGAACACGGAATGTGTTGAGCCGCCAACGATTTATTAATCTGTACTAGGTAACCTTTATGGCAGGCTGATCAAGATGACAGTAAAATCATGCGCCTAGTGGTATCGTAATCTTATCTCAGCCTACTTGCATCACTCACCTACAACAATCTGCCTTCTGAATCTTCTCCACCTGGCCTAATACAACAAGCGACTAACCTCTCTGCTGTTGTTCCGTGCAGCGTCTTCAAAGGTGAAGTTTGCATCGGAGACGTTAGTGACAATCAACAGATTTATAGGTATGGATCATGTTATTTATTAATCCACTAGTTCTGATTGAAGTCTAGAGATCGAAGACAACTTGTTGTCGAAGCTTTTCAGAAACCTATACCACAGATATAAATACTCTCCAAACTAAACATCCTGTGAATTAAAATGGTGTCGTTTCATACAGAGAATTCTGACTGTCTTACTTTCTAGAGACTTGTCAGTTGAACGACAGATATGAATGGTTTCCGTAAAGCAACCAAACTATCTTTTGTTTACAAGTATTGGTTTTGTAGGGTCTTTTGTTTGTTTAATTGGCTGAAGGATTTCATCATGACTCGACGTCAGCTGGAGAACCATTGGAAAACCAATTGGGAGTGGTGTTCACCTGCTTCATCCTAGTTTGTGGTTCTCCAGCTTTACGCCACAGAGATGATTGAACCCATGGCCAACTAGCTCATAGACGATTAAGCCACTACTGGGACCTGATTTAATAACCAGTTCACAAATTCTAACTTCTACCAATTCATAACATAGCGCGACCACTTCGGAATGTCTTCTTAGATGAGTTACTGCCTCACCTTCAATCTGGTATACCCTAATGGTCACGGCTTTTCACTAGAAACCCAGGTAACTACCTACCTGAATAGGGCCAGTCGCTAGTGAGCTTTGCCGATGTTCAAATGATGATTAATTGAAGGAAATATAAAAGAAACTCACTGCATTTTGAAGGAATTTCATCAGAACCATCTGCACAGTCGACAACACCATCACAAAACTTTGTCTCTTCAATACACTCTTGTGCTCCACACGGTCTATATCCTGGTGCACAAACTTCTTGTACATATAACTTTGCATAACCTTTGCTAAACTATAAAAAAGAAAGATATTTTTTGGTAAATTATATAAACTACTTACAAGCGTTATGTCCTAGCATTAAAACCAGTAATATTAATAATTATATTTGCAGTAAAATAAACTCACAACGGTTTTTTTTGCTGGGAAGCGAATATATTCAAATCACATTATATAATCTGTTTGATCAGTGCACACTTTGTTTTCCTAAATCACGGCATGGTGAATTTTCACCTCAAACTGAATAGTTCGTAAGTTGCGTACTCTATTCCTTTGAGCTCTAAGTAGAACACAGGGATCCAAGCTTGAGCTCTTATGTTTCAGTAAGAGTAGTGTTTAATTTTTACGCTGTGGGGTTGCTATGCATACATCAATCTTCCTTCCTACCATTATTGATTGAGCGGCATTCGGGGATCGAACCTTGGAACACTTCCCTGGCTTGCGAGTATCCTACCAATGAACCAATAACACCTGAATTTGTCTTCAGGTTTTTTAACACGAGGTGACATCATTTGAAGTACTGGATTGTTTTTTTTCTACTTAAAGGCTCTTCAATCACAATGCACCCACAGGTGTTTGAACCCAGGACCTTCCGGTTACAGGATGAGCCCATAAAACATTCAACCATTGCGGATTGAGTTCTGTTTCAAGTAGCTTGCGAGGTTTTTTTGGTTTTAACTGGCTTTACCCTCTCTCTGCATAGGCTCATTTAAGTCGGATACATCTGTAATGACCTAAATTGCTTCGGATGAAACAAACGGCTACCCTGTGGCTAAACCTGACCCTTAAGCATTTACAAAACCTGAAGGAAGTGTGTCGTGTATAAAGACGTTTGTGGGTAGGTAAAATTGGTTATATGTTGGTCATATGTAATCATTTTGAGATATGGTGCGTCGGTGGCACAGTGGTTAGGACTCTTGCCAACCATGCACATGGTCCGAGGTTCGAGCCCACGCCGACGCACACCTGATATCTCTGGTCGGCCTGCAATATTTGCACCACTGGTATCCATGCTGAAAATTCCATACTTGTACCAAAAAATCGGTGTGGAATTAAGTTGTAATCAAAAATAAAAATAAAATAAATAATAATTAATTATTGAGATCAAGGCAACAGATAAGAAAACTGAGAGTATATATGTATTTTTTACATAACTGCTTCTCGCCAGTACGGTCAACTTACTGTTATTTATTAAAGCTTCTATAGCAGATGGTGAGACTACCTACAATGGCCTTGTGTTAGCAGATAACTAACATGATGTAATGAGTGATGTGATTGAAGGTTAAGTGAAAATCCAGGTCGTAAGAGGATTCGAGCTAGGAGTCTTGGAATTACTAGCCTAATGCTCCATCAGCTGAGTCTCGATAACAAACAACCAGCAAGCTCATAATTACTCCACAAACACGACGGTCAATGATATATTACTGTCCGTCAGTCACCACACTAGCTGGTCAGATTTGTCTTCTGTCAATCCTGATAATAGTAAATTCAAGGGGGAAGGACCAGGCAGTTAACTGATGGTGAGACTATTTGAGATAATCTTGGGTTCACAAACTGTCAGTGATGCAGTAGGCAGTGAATAGAATGTACCACAGGACAAGTGGACGCAGAGGCCTCCAGGCCATTTATTAAGTGCTGCACCTGCTGAGCTGAGCAACTAAACTGATAACTATGCCATCAGTTCACTTTCATGCTGACAACATAAAGTAGTACAAATGACAAGAATCTACTTGGATCGAATTCCATATCTTTCAGAAATATTGTCAATCTCTTTTCTTAAGAAACTATGCTTCGATTCAACAGTTACATCAAGGACTATCTTGCAGGATGATATGACGGTTGATTGGATAATTCTACACTATTTCTCAACAGAACCAAACAGTTATAGCAGCCTTTTGCAGCTATAGAATGGCATAAAATGCAATTGTCTAACACAGCCAAAAGCGTATCTTCAGTCCTTGCTGCTTCATCTACAGTCTGAAATTTGCTTCAAGTGTTCGGATGGGAAAATATGACACAGAGTACATCGTTGGTTTAGCGCGTAGAATAGTCAGTAACCACGCACAGTGTTCCAGATTCGATTTCCAACCGGTGTGTACTCCTAAAGCTAGCTTCGCCAGTAGTGAACCGCGTAAATAGGGAAGATTAGGCAAGGGCTAGCAACCCAACCTGTAAAACTTCAACATCACTGTTAATGAAACTTCAAAGCTAAAAGAAGCGTCCTTATCTAAACTAAAGGTGAGATCACAGACGAGGATGTCAAAATCAGATTCCGAATCCAAGGTCAACCTTATTTACTCGGAAATCATATTGGATGTTTGGTGCCAGCATCACAAAAGCATTTCCAGTAGGCTACCTCAGACTGTTATCTACCGCTTCCCACTTCGCTGGCTCAGTATTGAGGGTTAAATTACTAGCCAGAAAGAATTAGTGATTCGAAACTCTGTTAAGAAACCAATCAACAACCTACCACCCAGCAAATATGTATAAGGGATTAGAGATGGATTGGATATACGCTGAGGAGACCGCCAAGTGACATCGTGCACCAGGCCAGCCTTTGAGTGGAACCGGATGAGGAAAAAACTAACTGACCGTTAGAGAGTGACATGGGTGAAACGGTGTAAGGAGAAGTTGACAGCTTATAGGTAGTTCTGAAGTCAGAGAAAGAGACTCCGGGGAACAAGACAAAAAATGGAGATGTGCTGATGAAGCCTCATATTCCACTGACAAACCAATGGAAATAATGAAATGATAAAACCATCTACAATATAAATTGTAACAACTGCGAAAAACACCACATTGGCCAAAGTGGACGTCCTCTTCGTATTCGTATCCACGAACATAAGCTAGCCGTCAAAAGATACGATATCCACTCCCTCATATCACTACTACTACTAATACAGACAACCAGGGACATCAATTCGACTGGGACAACCAATGTTCAAATATTAGACAGAGGAAACACCAAGAATGCAAGAGAATTTTTAGAAGCCTCCCTGACATTCCAATGAATCATCAGTCAATGGACACATAGAAATAGACAAAATTTATCAACCGATAAGAAAGAAACCTCAGAAACAAAGGGTCAAAGTTCAAGCTAAAGAAACAATCAGTTGCAATACAAGTAACTTAGAAGGTGTGAAATCACACAAAAACCACCAATCACGTCCGAGATCACCACCTGGAGAGATGATTAATAAACTCGAGGCGAAATCTAAAAGTTCACTTCAACGAATTGAAGTATGCACTAAAGATGTTGCCTAGTAGGGGGCGATGAGAACTTCGCAAATTAACTATCCAACTAGTTCATAGAACACAACCACGTCAAAATCTTCATCAATTCGAAATAATGATAATGTTAACACTCAGGTTTCGTAGCTCTGGAGTCCAGGAATTCTATGAACACCAGTTCAACTCCTACACCATGACCTAGATTTTCATTCCACACTCAGTTACATCAAGATTACATTTTCACTACATTTTTTTGAGAGGAAAAACTCCAAAGTAACACAGACTGAGGAAGTGAAATGTTTATGTGTACTTGGTTGGACATCTGCCCACCTACGTACTCTATTTAATCTTAAATAAAATTTGAAGAAAAACATAATCGTATTGTAAACATTCAATGATTGTTTATCATAATTTTTCAAAAACAGGTGCGCCCTCACACACATACACAATGACAATTGTTTATAAACAAGCTTGTTAACCATTTCAACTGAAAATCATTCACGATTCAGTGTCCAATTAATTAACCAGCATAAATCTTAACAATCATTTAATATTATATAAAAAACTGTGTGAATTGATAATCTCAACGAGATAGTTGAATAATGTTTGGTTTGAAATGTGACAAGCTGATGATGATGGTTTCCACCAGTTGGTGTAGATGATAAGATGATACTACTATAAGTTTAGATATCAGTAGTATATAGCAGTATGGCGTTTTAATGGAATAAATGTTTTAAAAAATCCCACCTAAACGATATAATTACTATTATTATTACTATCATTTAATTTATCTAGGGAGCATTGTCTCAACAACAGGCATTCGGAACAGACGAGAATGTCAAATCGAGAATGGGGAAGGCGAGAAACGCACACATTCATCAACCTGAAACCAATCCGGAAATCTTCGTCACTCAGCCAGCATCAACAACAAAATTCAGTCGGATTTTCAATACAAACGTCAAGTCAGTCAGTTCTTCTATACGGAACGATCAGAATCTTGGTGGGCGGGTCACAAAGAATGTTTCCAAAAGCCTGTTGCAGACCAGACCTTCATCAACAACTGTCTTCGCTCTTTACTGAAGATGAGATGGCCGGGCCGGTAAGAATCACCAAAAAGAAACTATAGGCACTAACAAACAAAACAAGAAGCAATCGCCAACAACAGATATGCAGGAGAAAGTAGATTGAGATGGATTGGACACTCGTGGATGAGGAGGCATCGCGCTGGGTGACATCGCGCGCGCTTCAGGCAATTGCTCGAGTGGAACCCGAAAGGGAAGTGGCGAGTGGGACGTCAGTGCAAGGGTGACATGGAGGAGATCGTGTGAAGAGGAGTTGAAACATTATGGACTAACATGGATGCATGTGAAAAGTACAGCAGAAGGCAGACAGAAGTGGCAAGTGGAGACGTGCAGTTGAAGCCCTATGATCCACTACAAACCCAAGGGAACAATAATAATAATAATTTATTTTATTCCTTTCCTTTTCCAATGAATAAAGGGCTTCAAGTTAGAGATATAAGAATAGAGTATAATTCCACTATGGGTAAAATTTATTTTGATAATGATAGCATAAATAAGAGAGAGAATATAAGGCATCTACAGTAGTTCTACCATATAAGGAGGGGACATATGAAACCCTCTCCACGTAGGATTCTCAGTAAAGCAGGAGTTAGTGTGGCATTCAAACCTTAGAAATCACCCAGGAGGACAAGCTGTCTGGTTAGGCTAAAGGACCCTGTCAGTAGGTCAGTTAGATAAAATAATGTAATTTACAAATATCTTGCAATTACTGTGAATTAGGTCAACTACATAGGTTAAATTAGTAGGTCAGGGGTAGTCAGATTGTCGGGACATAAGAATTTAGTTGGGGTTAGAATGGCTGACCCCACAAAGATAAGTAATTTAGAAAAAAAGCTTGGCAATTGTATTGCATGCTTTAACACACAACCACACATTAAGGTGGTGGAAGAGGATTAGAATTCTGAGTGACCTAAATAGGCGGAAAGAGAGGGATTAATTACTGAATACTGGCTGGTTCATCGAGTCTACACCCAACACATACAATTAAGAATGATTCATCACTCATACTACTACCAATCAAGCCAAGCGATGATAAATAATGGAACTATATAAACGAATTTAGAAAGTTGTGTGTGAATAGTGCCTTGATATGGTTATGAGCAGTAATAAATTGTGCTCGACATGTGGTTGTCAATCAATATTAGTTGTATAACAAACACTGTAAGACTTTATCAAAATCAATTTTACCCATAAAGGAACTTCAGGTTAGAGCTTTGAAGTTTCGGTAGCAGTGGTATTTATTTTTGCGGGGTGGGGTTGCTAGCCTCATGCCCAGTGTTCCTTCTTTACCAGTCTTTTCTAATGGCTTAGTGAGGTAAAGGAGGATTGCGTCGGTAGCTGGGGATCGAACCCCCAACCACGTGCGACCTGGTTGGTGAGCATTTGTGCAACCGGTGAACAATGTTAATACTTATTCGAATGTTTCAATCAACTTTGTGCTTTATTCTGAAAAAACTTTGATCCCACATTGATAAGAATATTCTGAATAATCCCCTACCCAGGCATGAATGAAAACAAAACACGTAGTTCAGCGAAGAGTCTCTTTCGGTGGCGAATTCATTTTCTTAGCTGTACAATCCCAAACAAACTTGACAGACTTAATGTACATATGCATACAAAATAGCCTGCATATGTATTCACGATTGTACAGCTAAGAAAATGAATTCACCGCCGAAAAGAGACGCTTCACTGAACTATGTGTTTTGTTTTCAAGTATATTCCACTCGATTCTAAGGTGCTTCTCACAGTTGATTTGGTTAAATAATTTTGTTTGTAGTATCTGCCTAACGTCTTTAATTATGGTAATTTTTGCTTTTTCGTATGTTTTGCTGCAAACAAGCGTCTTTTTGCTGTCGTTGGGCATTTTGTGACTGAAGTAACTCAAGCAAGTTTTAGTCAACTATAAAGTGGAATGCTACTATAATCGGCTTCCAGCGTCATTACCACAACGCGTCGGTTTTTAATCGTTAACAGAGTTTCAATAATGAGATAAATTTCTTGATTTTATCTAAGAAAATACAAATCTGAATTTACAGGCTCTTATGTATACTTATAAACTAGTTTACCTACTAGCACAAAATCCAACTCCAAAGCTTCCTGACAATTGCGTCCAACCATCTAATTTCAAAAAGAGGGTTAAAGCACATCTTATTTTGATCACAGGCTTTAAAAAATGAACAATGAGGGCATGTGCACTAGCCTTTTGACAGTTATCAAGTATCAATTTGTATAGGAGTCATCACCAACCGACATTAGCTGGGAAAAAACGCATGAAGAACCAAGGAGTACTGAAAGATATTCCGTCTTGTTTTCAGAATCCAACTTCGGTAATTCAAAAATATAATCCAACGTTTTTTCCAAATTCTGCCGCTGATTGATTTCATTTAGAGAGCCATTGAAAGCTAAGGAGTATTGAACAGAGATTTCATCCTAGTTGGGGACTCTTTGAAGGTACCCAGTCATTGGGTCGCTAGGACCCAGGACTTATCGGTTACAAGGCAAGGTCGTAGATCATTTATCCACCGAGATCCTACTGAATAGCTAGCTCATAAATTTCAGCTTCTACCAATTCGTTATTTTAGCACTACTGGTACTAGCCACTGTCATCAGGAATTATTTGTCCTCACTGCCAACCTGATGGACCGCGCTAGCCACGACTTCTCACTGGAAGTGTAGGCAATCTCATCCTGTAGCTAGTCGGTAGAGAGCGTCAATCGCCCCTCACCTCTAACAGAGCTCATATCCCACAGAAGATCCGAAAATGCGTCACCCATTAGCACAGTCAGAAACAGTAACTGCGCGGTTTTCGGGCCGTGAATAATATACTGTAGAACTGTGGTTGATACATTCATTCGTTACTCAACAGTGACCAATACTACTCTGATCCTTAGTGCCGAATGAGTTATGTCAGTAAACTTCACAATGCAAGAGGGAAATTTTTCTGATAAAATCGCCTTAGTTTTCTGGATCAGTGCCTTATCTTTCCCGAAATAAGGCTCCTGTAAAAGTTTCTAAAGAAATTTCGTACTTTAAAAGTTTGTGTTGTTTTAGTTTGATTCACACGAAGACGATTACAAATTATCTAATCAGAAGTGAGTAACGCATCCTCAAAGATCACTTCAATAGAAAATATATCTGCTGATTGTTTTAAATTTATGCATACCTTACAATCCCCGTTTATGATAAGTGATCGCAAGCTAACGGTGTCACTGAAGGTTCTCAAACTAGGACGAAACACCGAATACTCCCTGGTTTACAAGTATTGGTTTGTAGAGATTTCATCATGAGCCAACATTGGCTAGAGAACCATTGGAAAACGATCACGGAGTTTTGGACAGCTGTTTCGTCCTGGTTTGCGACTCTTCACAGTACTCTCACCCACTGCCAGGCTTTGAACCCAGGACATTCTGACTACAATTAGCCAATGAGACTGAATCTGATAGCCAACCTATGAATTCTAACTTCTGCCAATTCATGGCACAATGTAACCACCAGCAATGTTGTCGGTGGCGATTATTAGTCCTTGCACCCTACCTGCTGTACCCTACTGGTCACGACTTCCCACCACAACCACAGCCAGTTTCCACTGGTTCGCTAACTGGAATCAGTCAAATCCTTGTGACTCGACTCTTGAAAATACATAATAGAGATGAAAATCAAGAAAATGGGATTACTCACTTAAAAATAAAACGAGATAATTGCATGTTTTTGTATAATAACGTTTGAAACCGGTTACACTTACTCCGTCTGTACACATATAAGTGATATTGTGTTCAAATCGTCCAACATCTTTAACAATCAATAGTGCTCTTCCACCATTTGTTCCAATAACTTCTTCTTTACCAGGACGTAGACCTTGACGATCTGTACGCATCCAGTAGACTTTACCACCTTTCATTCCATTGACAGTAGATAATTCGCAAAGAAATTGTACAGTGGTTCCAGGACGTGCTTTAACCTCTTCTGGGGTTACCGTTAAATCTAAAACATAAAGTGACTAAAGTTATGATTAAATCACAATTATTGTCAGCACTAATTTCTTCAAAGGTAGACTTGATTATGACTAGACATTAGTTATCCTCCTTTGCGACCTCTCAGGGTTACAGACAAATAACCTCATCCGAGTCTGACACGTTCACCATTAGCTGGTGAGTTCGTGGTATTGTGGCACTGTCAAACAGTGTTATTAAGTTAGCATTCACTTCAAATCTAACATGGCAAACCCCAGTGGCCATTATAAATTCAAGAAATTCGTTCTGAAGACGTTCACTTGTTAACGGGATATTAACATTCAAATTTAGAGTGAACGTGTTTGACGCGCAACATGTCCTTCTACGCTGAGATCATGGTTGCGCACAGCTGAAAAGCTACAAGCTATTAAAGAACAACTGCCAACTGGCTCATGTTTTACAATTAGTCACCTACTGATACCAGTGTGTCTGAAAATCCACTAATGAGAGGAATCCAATTTCCATAGTTCTCAAAAAAACCATACTCTCCAATCCCTGAAACCCCCTTCATTCCCAACTCTCTCCTTGTACCTCATCAGGTAGAACCAGAAATCAGTACAAAATAATATATGCTCGTACAACCAAGTATAAGAACTCAACGATACCATATTTGGCCAGCCCGTGTTCTAAGTGACAGAGACAATGTAAAGCGCAAAACCTATGACTGGCTTTGTTGTTAATAACATAATTTTGGCCCTTTTATTTCTCCCTCATACTCTCTTATTTGTACTCTATAGTGAACAACCTCCTAAACATACTTAGCTACTTAATATTATTATCATTGGCTTACTTTTTTTGTACTTTACTCTATTGCTTCTTTTGTGTATCTACTGGTCCGACTATATTACCACTATGATTATTACAAACTTGTCCTGTCATTAACCATCATGTAATATTAGTTTTGTGGTTGTTCTTTGTTCGGCAATATTAACTGACAATCTTGGTTGTGAACGCCATTATCACCATCTTAAAATTTTGTACCATGCAGGATTACTCACACTACCACAACAAACACTGCTTCAGAGCTGACAGTAAAAAACTGTGACATGTTTATTTTATGATTGTTTAGTGTAGTTCAATCAAATTAACTCATCATCTTGGCTACAAACATTCTTAAATATCATTTCATAACTTCTCGTATGATTATAGCTTTACTGTCAACATGCATTAACATATCATGGCTTCCACTACCCAATACTGAGATATTATTTATTATGTTGTTTATTTTCCTTTCTACTTGTTGGTATTTTTTTTGCTTTTTTTTTTTATTATTTTTGTGTTTTTTTGTCGTTTTTGTTGTTTTTTATTTATAATTTTGAAATACTCCTCTTAAATGTTTGATAAAATTAGATGCAATATTGTAGATATGTGCTGAGAATTCCACACTAAATCACTAGTATTGTTTCTGGAATAGAGCAAAGTATTATTTAAAAAAATCTCATTAGTTATTTTCGATGTAGAACTACACTCATACATTTTTCTCCGTATATTAATGTAGAATTTCAGTTGCTTCTCAGTCACTTCCCTACATCTCAAATTTCGCAGGCTAAGTACTGCATTACAGTGGTTTTCTTGGCATTTATTTCGTTGTGAAGTTTAGTAATATACACAGACAGTCATCATTTTTCATGGGAATGCGTCAAAACATTGTGACTAGGTTAAAAAGTTGTAATCCACTATCGCGATCCCAATTGCTGACCTTGAAACAGCCTAACCCGGTGAGATATCAAATTTCATATTCTCGCCAGTTTTTCAGCATTTCCCTAAGAATATATTACCTTTCACTTGGTTACACAAACTTGCTCTTCATTTGTACTTCAAGAATATTGATGAGTTTGGACTCGTGGGTTGTTATTATTTAACTCAGCTGAAGTCATAATTATATGCAAGGAGGTGTAAGGTCACTAGGGTAGAGACATGGATTTTGTGCTTATCAACAAATCTTCAAGATAGTCGTGAAAGTGCAAGGTTTCCTGCCGATTATCACAAGCTGTCTACACACACACACAAAACACAAAATAACTCAGCAAAGAATATCCTTTTCGATAATTTCCTCTTCTGGAACTAGAATTATATATATGCCTATATACATAGAATATTCTAAAATGGTAGTCAATACTAATATTAGTATTTTTAAATAATATCGAAGTGTAAATTAAATTATAATAATAATGAAGACATAATAGCAAATAGAATATCAACTAAAATTATGAAAATTCCACGAAAATTCAAGATTATCGAAACCTGAATGGCCAAGGTAAGGACAATGTCTGAACTTACTTCTTTTAGACGCATAAATTAGGCTTATTAATGTGGATCTCAACAGCCCCAGCAATATTTAGTAGACGAATTCTTGAGGTGAAGTTAAGATTATTTCATATGCGATAAATGACTCTGAAAGCCGTCTGATTAAAATCAGTCTTGTGTTTTGTATCCACAATATGAGATAGAATAGAGCTATAAGTGGATTTTGTTTGTCCTTTACTTAACCACTATGAAGGATGATGTCCAGAAATCCAATTAGAAACACGCCTAATTGTACGGCCTATGTAACTGACTGGCTCCACAGAAGCAGTTAAATTGGTAGATACACACTGGAGAGGCGAAATTAGGTAGTTTGTCATTTACTTCCGAACGCAAAAGAGGAGTGATTTTGAAGACACAGCGTAATTCAGCGGCAGCAGGGAATGCTCTTTTTACCGCATTTCTAAGGCGTTGTGTTAGTGTATCGCTGATGTTGCTCCTGAGGAACTAAATTTGTAAGAATAAGGCCTTTTTGGGAACTGTTGGTATCTGTGGGCGCTTTGATTTTAGATTCATATTCTTATCAATAAACTATTCTGGATAAACGTTTTCACTCAAAGTCAAAGCGAAGGCAATTCTCATAGCCAGTACTGAGAAAAAGATAACATCAACCAAGGTTTCTTGATATGCGTCTGTCCACAAAGAAATTCATAACGATATAACTATTACGAATTCGCGTGGGAATTATGACGTGATTCTTTTAAACGTATGAACTTATGATTATCGTAGGTGTAAAATGTCAAACTTTTCAAACTCTCTTTAATCAAAGATGAATTATTATGCTTTTAAAACTTTTAAATTAAGAAAGATTAATCGTATACCTTAAATGCATACATTGTTTACTAAAAATAGTTCGCCTTGGATGACGTCAGTGTCATCTATAGAAGGATTTACAAGCACGTTTCAGTAGAGACTTTAGAATACTAATTGAAATCAGTTTTCCCAAGAATTAAACACGCATCTGATGTATACGAAAGCGGGTGGTCAGACCACTTGACGTGGTCTCAGATTAAGATGGTTGGAGGCAATCTCAGCAGGAAGACTTAGACCCAGGTTTCAAGCTAGTTGGCACTCATCAGTAAGACGCCAAAGAAAGGAACAGACACATCTCATTAGTTACTAGTGTCCAATGAAAGTACCCACTACTGTCCTGTAGAAGCTCAGGCGCGAGTTCGAATAGCTGCTCAGTGGTAATGTCTTTGACTGCTGTACTGACTAGGTGACATGGATTCGAATGTCAGAAGGAGGGACATAAGATCCTTCAAGGTCGCAGATACGCCTTGCTGACTGGTGAGTGCCAGCTAGCACGAAACCTAGGTCCAAAGGTTCCTGTGAATTGCCTCCTACCATCTAATATCACCAAATCAATGTGCACCGAGATGATGAGCTACCTAGAATGGTGGCCACATTGCAAATCTGACTGATAGAATCCAGATTGCACCAAAGAAAGACTTGGACACATCAGACTAGTTACCAGTGTCCAATCATAGTATGGTCTCTGATTCTCAGAACGAGTGTTACTCAGCAATTACTTGCAATTCCGTACAGGCGACAACAAGCCACACCTATTGGTCATAAAATCCAAGGCTGCGGGAACCTTCATGCATTGAGCAGGGTTCTATTCCTAGGAACCAAAGATTGGTATTCGAGGATCTAGACAAATGAGCCACTGCTCTATGGACTGTTAGACAAATGCTGCTGATCTAATGGCTAGTGACTTGAGGTGAAGTAAACATCTTGTCGGCAGAAGGATTCGAATTAGCAGCCAGTAAATTCAAGTTTACACTAAAAGCTCAAATATCACATGTAATATAAAGAAACACAAATAAGTTTTGTCAATGCTCACCTCTTGTTTTTACTCTCAATTTAGCAGAATCTTTTAAATTCAACGCTCTACAAACATACTCCCCTTCATGATATTTTTGAACATTCAGTATACTTAAAAATGTTGTTGATGGTGTAGCATCTGGTCGTTCAATTTTAACATCATCAGGTAAAGCAATCTCTCGATCACCACCTTCTGGAATAAAATACCAATCTGTCAACTGATTGCCTTGGTCTCTTCCATCTAAACGACAGTGGAATTCAGCGATATCACCAGCATTAGCCCAACGTTCATCTTCTTTCGGTTCAACATTGATGGTGACAACAGCTGTAGTAGAAAAAAAAATTAAATAAAATTCTACTGGTTAAAATTTGGTGCCTATGAGTTAACATTACACGCCACTGAATTACTGCTGAATGTCGACGGAAATAGGTTACATAACATTATGATTACGTAGAAGGTAAATGGAGTCCACACTGGATACAGAACTCCACCGAATAGAACTAACTGGATTCAGAAAAATCAAGTCAAATTGCAACTCTATGCGTTGTCATCACAGAAAACAAAGTGTAAAACGGCAGTCAAATATTACTCACATCGGCTCATTGATTTTGAAAAAGCCTTAAACAGACAACGCTGACCGAGAAGTAATTTGGAAACTACTTCAACACCATGAAGGGCAGTGCCCCATGCCTTTATCAACCTCCTTCAACAGACGGCTATATGATAGTGCCAGGTGTCAAGTGATCCACAAAGGAAAGCTCAGCGAGATGTTCAAAGTGAATACAAGAGTAAGACAAGACTGTCTGCCTATTATCAGCGTTGACATTCTTAATTGTGGTGGACTGAATTATGCTTTTAGACAGTGGGTTGGGATTGAGGAGACAGGAATAAGCTGGACCACCAATAATAAGACTCTAGAAGATCTGGATTTTGCAGATGGCATATGTCTAACGTCAAATAAACTCGAAAGCTCACAGACAAAACCGACAAACTGACTGAAGAAGCAGTCAGAGAAGACAGAATGGCAGGTGATCATAGAGAAGACGAAATAACCAAGCAACACTCAAGCAGCATAAATCGTCATCAATGGGAGAGATTTAACAGAGGTGAACTCCTTCACTTGTTTGGCCAGGAAGCATCGTTTCAACCGCAGGCAGGTGAAACGGATGGAGATGTCAAAGTCGGAATCAGAAAGGCAAAATACATCTTCATTCATCAACTAATCTGAAACCAGTTTGGAAATCTTTCGCACGAACTCAGTCAGGAGCATAAGGTGAAGTTAGTCCTTCTATACAGGTGAGAAATGTGGCTAGCGTGTCATAAAAAGGATTTCCACACAGGTTATCGACTTTCATTAACATCTGCCTTCTCTGGCTCACTACTAAAGATCAAATGGCCAGCCGGCCAGAAAGAATAAGTAAAAAGAAGGCATGGGAGCAGACCAACCAAGAGTCTACCTCTCAACAGATATGTAAGAGGAAATGAAGATGGATGGATCGGGCATACATTGAGGAGACCACCGAATGACATCACGTGCCAGGTCCTCGGGTGGAAGCCCAGTGGGAAACGACAAGTGGGTCGTCCCAAGGTGACGCGTAGGAGAGCCAGGTGACGCAGTGGAGATGGAAGACTGTGGGCAACCGTGGTCCAAGCTGAAAAGGACGCCAGAAGACAGGACAAAATGGAGATGGGTTGTTGAAGCCAGTCCTATGTGTTCCATCAATGAACCAACCAAAAATCTACTATTAAATAACTGTGTGAAAGGAAATGAACACTAATTGGACACACACTGAAGAGACCGTTGGATAGCATCGCGTACCAGACCCTTCAGTCACAGTTGAATTGGAAAAATAGTTTTGTAATTTCTACAAATTCATGATCTAGAAGTTATAATTCATCAGCTAGACAATGCGTTAGGTGCCCATTGACTGAATGGTTTATGAGCTTGCCTTGTAACCGGAAGGTTCTGGGTTTGATCCAAGGAGGTGGGTGAGTAATGTCGATGGTCTCAAACCTGTATGGAATAACTGTCCATTAATTAATCCAGTAATGACTCTAAATGGTTCTCTAACTGAAATCAATCCGTTATCAAACTTGAAACAATTCGAATCCCTACAAACGAACTCTTGAAAAGTTTAACTGTATTGAGTAATTGTTATTGTGATCATATCTATAGAATGAGACCTAACCATAAAGTTGGACAGTCATTTGTGGTTAGGAAACTATTGTATAAAAATTATTGATGATGGTTATTTCAGTTGTGCTAAGACAAAATTGAAATCTACTTGTTGTCTCCTGCCTGTTATTATTCCTCATTTTTCGCATTCTTGTGAAACATTTACGGTGAGTGTACTTAGTGCTTTGCTTTTAGTTCCAGCTGTCTCCATGACTATCAAAATGCTGTTATTTTACTTCTTAGTGTCTATTCTTATTATTTTCTTGAATGCTTAGTTGAAAATTGACCTTCATCAGTACATCGCTGTTTCACTATGTTCTATACTATCTTTCATGGCGGAGTTGATGACGCCCAATAGGCCTTTATTTCCTTCCTCTTGACACGTCACCCTTAGACAAACAACAACACAGTCATTTAATTTATTCGTTACTCGTCATCATACTCACCTCTTGTCTTTATTACTTACCTCCTTTAACATTGTATACTTACACTAATTTTCTTTTAAATTTGAAATCTCTGGGTAAAACCTACGTGTGTGTAATTTTCTGAGCACTCCTCACTAAGTTTGGAACCTCATGTCAACTGATATCATGCAAAAGTAGCAAGTATGTTGCATATAATAATAATTAAATTAGGCTGTAAGCAGCTGATGAGAAACCAGTGAAATAACCGATGATGGTATCATATTAATTATTAATGTTTTCTTTAGTTACAAGAGGGATATAAGAGTTCAGCCGCAGGTTTCCATAGAGTTCAGTTATCTGGCAACATTGCATCTAGCTCCATGTCTCCCCACATGCTTCCAAATCCTCTTCACATGATCTACCCCATCTCACTCTTACACTGATGACCAACTCGCCGCTTCCCGTTTGGGTTCCAATCAGGAGAGAGCCTGATGTGTGATATCATTCACTTGATAGTTTCTTTTCTCAGAGTATGGCCTATCCAACCTCATTTCTTCCTGCATATTTGTTGCACAATCAGTTCCTGGTTGATTCGCTCATGGATATCCCTCACTATTGCAGATTCTTCTCGCCGGCCACCTAATCTTGAGCGAAGACAGCTATTGATGATGGTATTTAGTTTGTTTGATATGCTCTTCACGACGCGCCAATCCCCCGATCCGTAGAGTAAGTAGCGCTGACTTCACATTGGAGTTAAAAATCCGGATCTTACTATTCATTTTCATGCTGAGTGTTGTTGATCTTCTGCACATAGACTTGAGATAAATGAAAGCTCGCCTTGCTTTCTCAATCCTTGCTTTGATGATGTCCTCATCATTTGCATCCGCATGTAGTTGAGACGATGCTTCTCAGGTAGGCGAGTAGGTAAACGATGTCGCTTCTTTCACATTTCGAATTCCATATTAGATATGTTTGTTTTAAATATTACACAAAGATGCAATATTAACACGTGGACACTGTGATATTTAAAATGAATTCATCTAATATAGGGATTACATTCTATCACCACAGTGCCCAAGTTCTATACTTACACTAACAAACTGTTCATCTTGCTTTATTCACTCAAGTGATACTGTAATCAAATAGTCAAATGAACCTGCAACAAGTGACATTTATCCTACAAAAGTAGACAGTATCGACTCGTGGGTAGTTGAACATATTTCGAACCAGCTATCCAATTGGTGAGAACGGGAATGAAGCAACGCTGTCTACTATCGCTAATGATCTTCCTAATTGCATTACATTGGATAATGTGATAGACAGCAAGCGGGTAATGAGGAAACAGGCATAAAATGGACTCACACAAAAAACTTGGAGGATCTGGATTTCGCCGATAACATATATATGTCTGATTTTCCACAAACTGGAAGATACTCAAGTGAAAAGCAGTAAGCTGGCAGAAGAAGCATCAAAGATAGGACGTCACTTCAAGTGAACATAGAGAAAACCAAGGTGATGAAGATTCCTGGCCAACATCAACAGCAACAAAAACAACAGACAGCAATCTGGCAGCGTAAATGGTAGGAATTGGAAGGAAACAACCACCTTTACCTACCTACCTGGGAAGCATCGTTTCAACTACAGGCGGACCGAACTGATGAGGATATCAAAGTCAGAATCGGAAAAGCAAGACAAGCTTTCATTACCCTCACGTCCGTGTGGAGGTCAACAGCACTCAGCATCAAAAAGAAGATTCGGATTTTCAACTCCACTGTGAGGCCAATGCTACTTACTGCATGGATCAGAGACTTGACCCCCCCCCCAAAAAAAATTTCAAGCCTTCATCAACAGCTGTCTTCGTTCATTACCGAAGATCAGATGGCCACTCAGAAAAGATCAGCAACAGGGATCTCTGGCAGTGAGCGAAACAACCAGGAACCGATTGCGCTACAAATAAGCAGGAAGAAATTGAGGCAGGTGTATTGGAGGCCATACTCTGAGGAAACCATCAAGTGACATCACTAGACAAGCCATTACTCAAGTGGAACCCGACTGAATGGGAAGCGGCTAGTTGGTCGTCAGTGTGAGAGTGACTTGGAGGGGGTCATGTGAAGAGGAGATGAAAGCATTTGGGCAGACTTGGAGCGGGATGAAAAAGTTAGCAGAAAACCGAACGCGATGGAGATGCGCGGCCAAAGCCCTATGCTTCTCTAGGAATTAAAGGATATAATAATAATAATCCATTTGGTTGTAAGTGAAATACTTCAGCAAATGATTCTTGACTCAAAAGAAAGAAAAAGAAAAAAAATAATGACGAAAAACGTGTTTTTAACTTTTACCGGTTTCCCATTTAACAATCACTTTTTTTCCACTTTAAAAAATGTCCATGTTTTGTTGATCCTCTAATGCTACTGAAAATGTAAACATGATTTATAGTCGTGTACTTATAGAATTCCCTTTTTAAAATGCGATTCCTTTAGTTTCAAAATTTCTTGTGACATTTATTCAGCAATATAGTTAATGTAATAAATACTACAATATGCAATAGACGACTGACTGATTTCGTAACATGATAACCGAAAAAGAGGCGGAGGCTGAATTACAAAACAAAAATTTCTGTTAATTTATTAAAATTCAGTGTCATGTTGCACATATTTCTTCTCATTGCTTTACAATCTGATTGAAAAAGAGGACAGCAAGGCTTTTTGAAGTTTCGGAAAGCTTTGTTGTGTGTTGTTTTGGTA